TGTATTGAAACTGCATTACGTAGTGGAAATAAAGAATGTCCAACGTGTCGAAAAAAATTAATCTCAAAACGATGTTTACGTCGTGATCAAAATATAGATGCATTAATATCAAAATTATTTCCAGTACGCAACGATAACGATGATTTATTAATACATAATCGAAATAAATATGCAAAAAAAGCAATAGGTACAAGTTTATCATCTGATGATGAACAACAACAACAACAGCAAACAAAAGATAAGAAGAAAAAACGTATTTCAGAATCATCATCATCAGCTGGTTCAATACCAACAATAAATGATATTGAATTACAACTTAAACCAATGAATAATGTTAATTTGTATGCAACAAGAAAAATTTTAACACCATTAAATGCGACAATAAATCATTTATCGAAATTTATTAATACACGAATGAAATTAGAACAACAAAATTCAACATTTATCGAACAAGAATATCAGTGGTTTATTAATCTGACTGACGATATCCCTATTGAAAATACTTTAACATTGGATAAATTACTCGAACAACATTGGAATAATATGCCTAAACCATATAATATTTTTTATCGAGCAATTTCTCATTAAAAATTTTCTTTTTTTTTCTCATTTGTATAAAGAAGATAATCTGTTTATATATCATATATATATATTTGTCGTCAAATAAAAAAATATGTATAATTGTATGGTCTGTTCTAGATAAATACAAAATGGTTCTTGCTGATCTTGGTCGAAGTCTTTCGACAGCATTAAGAAATTTAAGTAATGCAACTATTATCAACGAACAAGTTTTAAATGAAGCATTGGGAGAAATTTGTCGAGCTTTATTGGAAGCTGATGTTAATGTTCTTCTAGTTAAGCAATTACGTGAAAATGTTCGGTAAGAATAATCATATAAAACTTGTATTTCAAAGTAGTTGTGACAAAAACATCACGGAAAATACCAAGGATTAAATCACATACTTTGTTACGATATGTTAAATTAGAGATGATGTCTTAGGTAAGAGAGAGTGAGAGGGAAAGTGAAACGCTAGCGTGTGACAATTAGATAAATTCTTAGCAACTCTAATGCAGCTTGGTTTATTATTATAAATTTGAACTCACTTAGAACAATGAGACTGATGTCACGAGTCTTTCACTTCATATATAGATGTGTTTCTTCTCTTATTCAAAAAGATGGATAGGTTATGTTTGAATAATTTTTAACTTTTTTAGACAAGCAATCAATTTCGAAGAAACAGCTGTTGGTTTAAATAAACGTCGTTTAATTCAATCCGCTGTTGTTAAAGAACTAGTCCGACTCATTGATCCTGAAGTAAAACCATGGCAACCAGTCAAAAATAAACCTAATATTGTTATGTTTGTTGGTTTACAAGGTAGTGGAAAGACCACAACATGTACAAAGTATGCATATCATTATATGAGACGCGGTTGGAAAACAGCATTAGTATGTGCGGATACATTTCGTGCTGGTGCTTTTGATCAATTGAAACAAAATGCAACTAAAGCACGTATTCCATTTTATGGAAGTTATACAGAAAGTGATCCTTTAGTAATTGCTATGGATGGTGTTGAAACATTTCGTAAAGATAATTTTGAATTAATTGTTGTTGATACAAGTGGTCGACATGCACAAGAAGAATCATTATTCGAAGAAATGCTTCAAATTTCTAATGGAATTCAACCTGATAATATCATTTTCGTCATGGATGCAAGTATTGGTCAAGCTTGTCAACTTCAAGTATGTTTTTTATTTGAAATCTTATATTTATTTTATCTATCTATTCATTTTAAGGCAAAAGCATTCAAATCTAAAGTTGATGTCGGTTCAGTTATTGTTACTAAACTTGACAGTCATGCTAAAGGTGGTGGAGCTTTAAGTGCTGTTGCTGCAACGAAAAGTCCAATAATATTTATTGGTACAGGTGAACATATAGATGACTTTGAACCATTTAAAACAAAACCATTTATCAGTAAATTATTGGGTATGGGTGATGTACAAGGTTTAATCGAAAAAGTCAATGATCTTAAATTGGAAGACAACGAAGAATTAATTGAAAAATTAAAACATGGTAATAACAATAAATAAATAAAATTATTGATCAGATGTATTTTTTTTACCTAGGTCAATTTACACTACGTGATATGTATGAACAGTTTCAAAATATTATGAAAATGGGTCCATTCGGACAAATAATGGTTTGTTTTTAAACAAAAAAAAGTTTATTATTTTAATAGAAATCTTATTTGATTATTCAATAGGGTATGATTCCTGGTTTCGGTACAGAATTTATATCAAAAAGTGGTGAACAAGAATCACAAGCACGTTTGAAAAAAATGATGTGTGTTATGGATAGTATGAACGATAATGGTAAGTGTAGATGTTTATGATTTTAATACTCAATTGTTTTTGTAAAATCAAATATAGAACTTGATCATCTTGATGGAGCAAAACTATTTAAAACTCAACCTGGTCGTTATGCTCGTGTAGCTCGTGGTGCCGGTGTATCCATACGTGATGTACAAGATTTGATAACACAATATTCAAAATTTGCACAGATGGTTAAGAAAATGGGTGGTATAAAAGGTCTATTTAATCAGAAAGGTGACGTATCTAAAGCTGTTAATCCTACACAAATGCAGAAATTAAACAGTCAAATGAGTAAATTAATTGATCCAAGAATATTACATCAAATCGGTTAGTTTATATATATATATATATATATGTTATTTTATTTATTGACAACGATTTTGTTTTTTTTAGGTGGTTCGTCGGGTTTACAATCAATGATGCGACAATTTCAACAGGGTGGTGGACCAGGTGGACTTGGTAAATTGTTTGGTAATGACAAGTGATCTGAATTTCAGCATACAAACAATTATTTCAAAACGATTTTATTTTAATAGTTTATATTTCGGATTATAAAAAGGATGAACATTTTCTTTTTGTTCTTATCTCTGTATTTCATCGTTGTTTTTTTCTTTGATGGTTGATAAAAACGTGAGAGTGTTTATAAATGTTTATTTATTTGTGTCAGCGTTTCAATACTTAAGCTGATACGTTTTTTTTCTTGTATATCTTAATTATTTTCGATGTGAACGTATAAAAAACAAGCGACAAAAAAATTTCACATAACCAAGTAAAAACTGGAGTAATACTACAGACAATAATTTCATATTAATTAGTGATAGTACTACTGATGACTATGATCCTCTTTGAACTGACTGAAAAATACAATAAGAACAGACACGACTTCAATCATTGCATAGATAAATAAATATTCTATAATTCAATTAATAGTTGATGATCGAATCGAAAGGATCGCACTATCAGATATAGCTCAGACGACAACGTTTTCCACCTAATACTTGTTATTTATCGTTCATTTTATTTTTTGTAGGTAGTACTAGTATTTTATGATGTTTTTTTCTCCCTATCACGTTTTATGAACAAGAAAATGCAATCAACGTCATTGATGTAAAGTGTAAAAAAGACGTACTATTGAACAATTATTATTGATATACTTCCTTTCACACCTGTCATTGTTTTTCGATAAAAAAAAGTCAGGCGTCTAGATCCTATTTATCTTGTATCATATGTAATAAATGATCTTATCGCCAATCATACTATTATCAAATACGACGTATAAAAAGAATATTTATATTTTTTCTTCAATAAAGAAGCATTGCAAATAGTACATTGACAAGATCAATAGTGACTAAAAATCTGTCGTCATTTCCTAAAAAGAAATATATCGACAAAAAAAATGCTCACATGATTTATATATGAAGTAAGTTCCTTCCATCTTGATATCAAAGATTAAAGTAGCATTCACATTATATTTATTTGAACATGTTCAACGATAATGATATTCTAAACTACATTAACATTTCATTAACTAATCATAACTCACCAATATCGAAAAGTGTAAAATTTTGGATCTATCTTATATTTCTTATTCCTTCGATAATTTGTACATTGTTTGTTCTTTATTATCTTCTTTCGAATCGAACTTTACGCTGTGCTATTCATAATCATGCTATTATTATTTTCCTTCTTATTGGTCTTATTTATCAAATTACAATATACCCATGGATGCTATATTACTTTTATAACGAGAATGTATGGCAAAGAACCTCTTTCTTCTGTACTGTTTGGATCTTTATTGATTGGGGATTATATTTCACTCAAACAATACTTTTTGCATGGGCTACAATTGAAAGACATATTTTGATTTTTCATAAGTCTTGGACATCAACAAAAAAGAAACGCTTGATTGTACATTATCTACCTCTATGTATAATTATTTCCTACTGTCTTATCTATTATATTGTTGTTATATTTTTCCCATCATGTAAGAATAATTTGGATAGTTATAACATGATATGTATTCAACTTTGTTTCTTTGTTCAATCGACGGCACTTTATACATATGATATAATTATTCATCAAATATTACCAAATTTATTAATAGTTATATTCAGTATTGCTTTATTATTACGTGTTTGCCGACAAAAATATCGTGTTGGACAATCATTACAATGGCGAAAACATTGGAAAATGACTATTCAACTATTATTTGTTGCATTCATTTATCTTATATTTTCATTTCCAATAACTCTAATGAATTTCTTACATCTTTGCGGTGTATCACGTCAATCAACAAGTACTCTTCTCGAATATTTACTAGTTCTCAATTATTGTATGATACTTCTTTGTCCATTTGCATGTGCATCAGCATTACCTCAATTGAAAAATAAGATCAAAAATATCTTACAAATACGACAACAAGCAAGAGTTGTTGCACCAATGACACGACATATAAGAAATACAATACTTAATCAAACATTTGCATGATAATTAATATTACTATAATTAATGTAAATACAAGATGATTGATCTATGTATAACTTTACATAAAGAATTTATATTTTCCTAATCGTTTTATTTATTCATTTGAAAGACATGTATATATCAAACGGTTTTATCTGTATTCAATTTATCATAAGAATCAATTTTATAATCTGGAGTTTTCATTTGTAACAATTTAATAAATTCATCATCTACACGTCGTTCCATTGTTACTTCTTGAAAAACTTCTGATGTTTCAATCTAAATACATATTTTCATATAATACAAAAACAACGAAATATTCTATTTACTGTTTGAAATTGAAATTTTTTTGTGAATAAAGCAATACTTGGTAGATTCTTGAGACCAATTTTAACAATAAAACGTGTTATATGAAGTATTTCTATTGCTGCAAGAAAAAATAGTTTATTAAATAAATGAAATTTTAATTTACCATAACGGAGAAATGTATATAATGTTTCTAATCCATAACCTTTTCTTCGTGCTGTTACTTCAGCAATCATTAGTTCAAGTTCACCACAATGAATATCATCGGAATCATTTAAAAATAAATTCACATCACCAATCATTGATTCTATATAGATTGAAACTCTCAACGCATGTTTAAAAAAAACAATCTTTTTTACTTATTTCATCATGTGTTTGATCAAATAGTTCTTTTGATAAAATAATAAATGTACATTTATCATTATCATTTAACCATGTTTGTTGCATATGATATTCTTCTTCTATACTTAATGGTAATGAAGCTGTAAGTTCAAGTATTTCTTCATTTTGCATCCATATATGATATCTAATCATAGAATAAAACATGATTTATAATATATATATATATATCCTTTAATTCTTACTTTTTGACATGATGTTTTCCATAAGGAACAAGAAGAATTGTTCGATTAAATATCACTGTATTTGCATTAATATGCATTATTGATCTATAGTGACATCTTTTAAATATTTTCCTATATTTTATCAATCTATAAGAAAAAGTAAACAACGATAGGTAATGATAATAAGAACTCATTTGTCATCTGCTTCTGAAAATTCTACAATTGATCATGTAGCATAATAAAGTTATATAAATACGAAATTTACTATTAGAAATATAATTAATTTTAGTTTAAATTATTTTTTAAAGAAATTGACTGTGTAAACTAACTGATCAGATAAAACGAATGATATATGTTTTTTTCTTTTATATACGAAAATAAATTCTTTCATTTCTATTTAATTAATTCATTTTTATCAAAGGTAATATTGAACCACAACGAGTAGAAATTTTTAATTTTGCTGCGGGATCACCACGTGTTTTACCAATATTAACAATAGCAATAGGTAGTTTAAATTCTTGTGCAGCAAGAATAAAACGATAAGATGACATAACTTCAAGTGATGAACCAGCAACAAGCACAGCATCACTTTTACTTAATTGTTCTTTGATAAAATTAACTAAACCACGATCAACATTGGCACCAAAAAATGTTACATCTGGTCTGATTCTACCAGAACATTGAGGACATCGAGGTGGCTAAAAATAATACATAAAATATTTTTCAAAATTTCTGTTATAATCTACCTTGAAATCACTTAATTGTTCTTCAGTTAGATAAACATCAGCATCTGGATTAATTGTATTTGATTGTGCAGTCCAAACAGGATTATCCTTTGATATAATTTCTTGTAATTGCTCACGTGTAATACCTTTATAACCACAATCAACACAAACAACTCTAGCACTACAACCATGTAATTCACTTAATAGTTCACAACCAGCTTTCGTTAATAAACTATCAACATTTTGTGTAACATGCCAAAATACCTTGATAATACAGACGATAAGTTTTTTTGTTTTTGTAAATTAAAACATACTTTATTCTGTGTTTCCCAATTAGCAAATGTTTTATGAGTTTGATTTGGTTGAAAAGCAGAAAATGTTGGCCAACCAACATAATTTCTTGCCCAATACATTCGATATCTTTTTGGATTAGTTAAAAATTCTTGATACATCCTAGATAAATAATTAATTAATAAAATTCAATATTTAATTGCATACATAGGACGATTCGTTGTTCGAGCATAAAGTCCAACACCTTCGGATCTATAATCTGGTATACCGGATTCAGTTGAAATACCAGCACCACTTATAATAAATAAACGTTTTGATTGTGATATAAATTCTTGAAGTTTATTAATTTCATCGGATGATGGTTCTCGATATTGTGGAATATATATTTCCTTTGATGCTAATGTAGAAAAAAATAATTTTGGAAATAAACGATGAACTTGTTTCATCATCTTTAATATTATAAAATAAATTGACAATAAACAAGAATGTATGTATTCGTTCTGTTGTTGTTGTTTTTACTTGTTATATATATATATCATCGAATGAGTCATCATATACAATGTGTTTGTGTTTTGTTTTTCCTTCTTATTTTTAAAAACTATTGTACTTTCTTCAGATTAGATATTTTATAAATCGATATATTTTTAATGGATACTACAAATTCAATAAATTTAACACCGGAACAACTCGAGACTGGTTTAATTAATGGTACACTTGATAAGCTAGCTCTTGAAAATCTTTTAACAAATAATATTCATGAAAATGAAAATATCGACGCATTAAGTCAATTTTTTATACAATACATTCCAGGAAATCGAACTATGGATGAATTTATTAAACAAAGTAAAATTACAAAAATTTAATTTATTTTATTTTTTTTGAAATATTTTATAATTTAGTTCAAGAATATAATAATGCACAAATATGTGGTTTAGTTTGGAATGCAAATGTTATTGCATACCGATGTAAAACATGTTCGATATCACCATGTATGAGTATATGTGCTCAATGTTTTCAAAATGGAAATCATGAAGGACATAATTATAATATGTTTAGAAGTCAAGCCGGTGGTGCATGTGATTGTGGAGATTCCAGTGTTATGCATGAATTTGGGTAAAGGATAAAAATTTTATCTTACCGAGAATTTCCCAACGTTATTCGGAGATTTGAGAATAGACTTGTGAATTAAAATAGATTCTGTTGAATGTAATCACGTTTATTTTAAAATAGATTTTGTCGTTTTCATGGTGAAGATCGTCCTCAAATGCAAACAGTACCACGTAACTTAATTTGTTGTGCAGAATTACTCATTCCACATTTACTAAAAGTCTTCATTCGTGCATTACGTATGAGTCAAGTTAGTGGTAAGGAATATTGCATTGTCTTTTTTTTCTATATAAACACAATAAAATTGATTTAGGTGATATTGTAACAGAACAAAAATTATTGGAAATACTTAATCAATTATCAAATGGTGGTTCAGCTTTACAATTATATATAACAAATGCATTAACTGATAGAACACTTTATGAAGAATTTACTAGTGATTGTATGAAAAGAAAATTATATTTTTCTGGAGAAATTTTTTGTTTATTTCTTTAGTATCAATGAATAGAATGTATCATAATGAATTTTTAACTGGTGAATATTCAAATCTACCCGTAACATTTTTTGTTGAATCCTTAATTAATGATTCATCATCAGATGGTTTAGTACCATTTGATACAAGTTTACGTACAATGCTTGATGAAATAATGATGTGGTGTGTTACAGCAAATTTACCAGAAGATCTTGTACGATTTTTACTTAGTTTATTACCTGATTTTAATTTTAAAGTGAGAAAGCAAAATAATAATAATAAAGCCTAATTATAATCTAATTTTAATTTTAGCTTACATTTACAGAAACATTTTTACGTTTCTATGGTGTTATAGCTCAACATCTTGTTGAGGAATCACTTCACGAGCAAAGTGAAATACCACCACGTCTTGTTCATATTAGTGTACAATTATTTTCTTCGAATATTATTGCTGAATATGCTATGGAAAAATGTCATTTAATTGAAGTTATACTTTCATGTATTTGGCATATGTTTGTCCCAGCCTTAGAACAAGATAAACAGGATGATGACGATGATGAAAATATACTTAAAATACATCCATTAGCATGTATGTAAAGTTAAAAGAATAAGCAAATGAAAAATTGTTTAATTAAAAAATTTCGTTTTAGCAATAACCGATGATTCTTCAGCTACTGGTATGGTTGTAGATGTTGAACATCGTTTAATAGTTAAAAATGTTTATTGGCCATTATTAAGTGATTTTGTTAATATTTTATCTCAAGAAAAAATTGCTTTAATAATTCTTGAAAATAAAAGATATTTTAATTTATGGTTACGTTTCCTAACATTATTTCAAGGTATGAATATTAATGAACGTATATTAAATGAACATGTTGAATATGAACCACAAGCATATATGTATGCATTTACAATTGAACTTGAAATAAGTGCTGCAGCTATGTGGTGTTTTGTTAATCATCTTAAGCCAACTGTAAGTGGAAATGAATTCTTTTTTTTTTGTTTATTTTATAATATTTTCTTTTAGTATTCATCGGATAATTTGATTAGTATTATTAAACAAATTATAGATAGTATTAATGATTGGTTGCAATCATTAAATTTTCAATTGAATAATACTGATCATTGGAAATTATCATTTCATTTGCCATTACATCGTTATTTATCTGTATTTGCCTATAATGCTATTTATAAATTTAATATTGATCCAGCTTTATTTTTACCAATTCATGATCAAAATACATTATTAAATTTTATGTTTCATCCATTGAGAACAATTGTAAGAAGAATTAATATTTCCTCTTAATTAATAGTTCGAAAGATGTAGGAGAAAAAAAAATATTATTTGTTATACTCAATAATTGAAAACAGTGAGCGTAATTCGATTCCGTTAAAGCTCTGACGTAAGCGGTTATCGTTTCACCGGTCTAAACGGTTTTCGTTTTACCGGTCCGAACGGTTATCGTTTAGCTACGGTTAACAGTGAGCAGGTTTTCGTCACTTTTGCATCCCTAGTCGATATCGACGATCGTTTAATAAATAATCAGAAGTTTCAGAAGTGGGTTAAAGCAATACTTGAGGTATATTGGCAGACACATTAGATCTTTACTTTATCATATTATAATAGTAAATATTGCCAATAACATACTGTCAGATAGCATTCGACCATGAGCATTACAATCGAAATTTTTTAATAAACGAAATTAAATTTAACTTTGTATTTCTATTAAGTGTGGTTATTATGAAGTTTTATCGAATATTTGGCTTCGAAATGGTCAACAAGTGATGATTCAAGCTAAAACTTATGCAAAAAGTGCCTTTTTATCCTCAATGCATGATGCAGATTTATTTCTTTTACAAGTACTATTGAAATTTCTATTTAATGGAAAAAGATTAGTTTTATAAATTTTCTTTACAGTTACTCTCATGTTATATTGAACCAAATATATTCATAGAAACTTTACTTTCCAAGTAAATTATTAATATATTTTTTGATCAAATGAATTCTATTTTTGAAAAATAGGTTTCATGTTTATTCATGGTTATTTGATTCAAATAATACATCAAATCTAGATCAAGGACATCAAATAGCCATGTTAGAAAGTACATTAATAGCACTTTGCGCAATTGTTGGTTTTCAACCGAATATAGGTATCGTTTCTATTTTTTCAATAGTAAGTTTGACATTCAATTTTACTTTTAGCTGTTCGAGAAAATAGACGAATTCGTCCAGAAATGATAGCAACATTATCTGTGGCTGATCGGTTATATAGTGAAGTTGAAGAAAATGTTCCTGATCCATCACCAATGAGTGCCAATCGAAAAGAAATTGAAACTATTCTTGAAGAAGTTTGTTTCATTTTTTATATATAACACTATATTTGAAATTTTAATTAAAAAAAATTTTTAGGTATCTGTTTTTCAAACACCTTCTGTTGAATTAATGGGTCATTTACAACAAGGAAAATATACAATTAAAGGTACATTATTCGAAACTGATTATGATCCATTACATGTATTAATACGTTGTACAAAACGTGCACATTTTCAAAATTCACTTGAACGTTTTACAAACTAGTAAATATATTCCAAAAACCTAGCTATTCATTTTTTTGAAAATATTTTCTAGTGTTAAACATGAAGGTTTATTTAAATCCGATTATCCTATTTGGCCACCATTTCGCATACCTAAATATGATCATCCACAAATGTCAAATGTTCAAAATATTTTACAATCAAGTGTATTACATCATTTTCTATTTCTATGTTTAAATGCCGTATGTCTTTTATATAGTCAATTTTATCTTCTCTTTATTATTTGTATTTAGTATTTAAAAGATAAAACTATTACAGAAAATATTCTATATTTTACAATATATCTACTTGAATTATCAATTCTCAACGTAAGTTTTCTATATAGCTAGTTTGAGCATGGGTTTGGGTCATGTCTAAATATACGCCTGTTGTATTAATAAAAATTTATTTTATATCTTAGGGTAAAGATACTTCGCCTATGACAACCGATGTAAATCCAGTAAGTACAGAATTGAATAGAAAGAATATTTTCAAATACAAAATTATTATTATTTAGGAAGAAACTTTAACATTTAAAACAAATGATATTTTTCAAAATATGCATACATTATTAACACCACCAAATGAAAATGAAACTGAAAGTATAATTACACTTCTATTTAAAATTCTTCATAAACAACGTTCCAATGATTTTATTGGTATAATAAATAATATATCTATTCAATTAAAAACTTCCAATTATAAAAATATATCACGTATTGGTGATGGTTATTATTTTCTTACAAATATTTTACATTTATCATCACAAATGAATGAACAATGTCGTTTAATAATTGAACAAGAAATTGAAAAACTTAAAACTCAATATCAACAACGACAATCAACAAATACAAAATTATCGGATTTAACAGCTGAACAAAAGTATTTCATTTGTTTTGTTTTTTGTTTATTTTCATTTTAATTCTTAGACGACAACGAGCAAAAAATCGTCAACAAAAATTACTTGCAGAAATAGCACAATCACAAAAAAAATTTATTAGTCAACAAAATCCCGATGAACATGCAATGCATATTGGTACACCACCATCATTAACTAATGATAATTTTTCAATGGAACAAGCAATGACAACAACAACAACTGCACATACGACGATTGTCATGGAACATTCTATTGATTATGAATGTTGTGTATGTCGTTTAACAAAAAGTGATAGTCAATCACCAATTGGTCTTATTGGAACATCATGTTTATCACTTTGTAAATATAAATTAATAAAAAAAAATATATATTTAACTATAAATTTTGTTTTTTTCAGTACCTAGTCTAGAATTTACTCAACTAGATGAATATGAACAAAAGATCTTATCATATAATTCGAATAAGATTACTCTTGAAACATATTTACATTTAACAAAACAATGTTTAACAACAATTAGTGGACATCCAGTAAAAAAAATTAATAATCAATCTTTTCTTTATTATATTTTCTACTTTATAGTATATTGCGAACTATTGTCAAAATGATCATCATCTTCGTTCATTATTAATTCAATCATGTGGTCATTCAATTCATGTTGATTGTCTGTCATCATATCTTAAAGCATTACATCCGGTAAGTATAATTAAAAAATTATCAAATGACAGAAATAATATAACAGTCAGCAAGTAATACGATCTTCTTATAACAGATGGCAAAATATTGATATTTATGTGATAACTTTTTTATTTCTAAACAAAATAGAACTGAGAATAGTTGTTGGAAACTTTGATTTTCTCGCTCATAAGTTTACTTAAAATATTAATATAATATTCCGAATGATTTTAGAATCAAGAAGCAGTTGAACAGCCTTTCAATAATGTTCTTCCATCTAATACGAATTTTCGTTGTCCACTTTGTCGACAATCAGCGAATACATTAATTCCATTATTTGATCATAATGATTATTTAAATACACAAATTAATCCAATAGATTTAACACCTATTGAACGACTACATCAATCAATGATAAATCCTATACGTCCTAAACTTGTAAGAAATGAAAATTGAAATCGATATTAACTATTTAATTTTTTCTTAGAAACGAGTATTTGATGATAGATGTTTACTTGCATTTCTTTCTGGTCTTGCAGCTAAATGTGTATCAAATGAACAATTATCTCCTGATAATCCAATTTCATTACCCAATCATCAATCAATGAAACAACGTGCAGCTGAATTTGATTGTGGAACATTAAGGTTCTTCATAGATAAATAAATAAATATCAAAATATATACAATCTTTTTTCTAGAGCTCAACTTGTTCATGAACAACTTTTTTATGAAAGTGCTAATAGAATTGATCAAAAAAATATTCGAAAATCATTTTATAGTAAGAATATAATCAATTCGTAGAATATCATATTTATTTATATTTTAAAGAAATTCTTCATGATCTTCATCATTTGGGTTATTCATTTCATCATCAACATCTATGGCAAGAATTAACTGGACTTCAATGTCCAACAACAACAGCCGAGTAAAGAAAAAATTTCTTCGTAAAAATCATTTAAAAAATTGTTGTTTTCTCCTCAAGAGTATTCCATCCTGAACAAACATTAGCACCAGTACTTTTACGTGATTCAATCACCATATTACTTCAATTATTGATGAGTGCACCGATTAACTTAACCTGTGGTAAAATAATCTAATTTTTTTTCTTTATAAAATTCTAAATTTTCTTTTTTTAATATTAGATGAATTTGATATCATTGTTCAAATTGTATTTAATATTGAATTTTTTAAAAATCTTCTATCAATAATTATTGAACAGTCTGCAGAAAATACAGATTTAGGAGTAAAAAACGATTTGTGTCTGTTTTTCTGTATCACATCAAATATTTTTATAATTTAGGATTTAAATATATTCATGCATTTAGTAACAAAATATGTAAAAGAAAGTGGTATCAATGAACAATTACCAATTAAAAGAACAATGGGCAATTCATTTGAAAGTCAACTAATGAACAGTTGCTTAGATTTTTTTAAAATTACTTCATTAATTAAATATCGATTATATGCAAAAGAAATGCCTTGGATAGTAAGTTATTTTGCATAGATCAAAAATATTTTTTAAAATTTTATTTTATAGACGGGTGAAGAACCTTCCGTATTAGCATTAGCTAATTTTCTCAATTTAAATTTGAATTTAAATGGTTTAGCTATGCCACAATGGTATTGTAATGAACCAGTGATATTATTTACAAAATGGTTAAAAGAATTTCAAAACAGTGCTCAACAACATAGTATTGCAACAAAAGTAAAATATTCATGCATTGAATTTTTAATAATAACAATATTCTTTTTCTTCTACAGATATTATGTCTTAAACGTCCACATTTTTCTCCTCCAATATTTATTGATATACCTGCTAAATACGATGATGTATTTCATTTATTTAATGAATATCGTTGTGAATATTGTAAAAAAGTTTCATCTGATACATTATTATGTCTTATTTGTGGTGAAGTACATTTAAAACGTTGGCATCCATTATGTTGTGTTCAACAACGACAAAGATTTACTGAAGTAAATAATTTTTAATATTTTAAAATTAATATAATCTATTTGTTTATTTTGTAGCATCTTGGTAAATGTGGTCATCCGGCTGCTGTTTTTCTTGATATTCCAACAACATTAATTACGATTTGTTTAAATGAATCATATGGATATTGGCATTCACTTTATCTTGATCAACATGGGGAAGAAGATCCTAAACTTAAGTAAGAAAAGACAAAAAGAAAATTTTCATTTTTAATTATTTTGATTGATTTAGACGAGGTAAAACTTTATATTTGGATTCAAAACGTCTTGCTGTTCTTCGAACATTATGGTTAACAGCAACATTTGATTATCAAATTCAAAATTGGTTTTCGTACAATCCATTGATGATTAGTCATTTTGATGTATTATTGTGATTTAAAAGAATATGAACTTGTGTGCGTGTGTGTCTCTGTATACATGAACTAATATTCGAGTCTTTCGATCAATTCTCAATCTCTTTCGTATTGTTTATTATTCTTATATACGCAAACCATAATATTTTATTTTATGTATCTTTATTAAGCAAGAAAAAAAAATCAAAATAAAATCGACATAAGCTAGCTCAAAAAAAAATAAACGATCAGTGAAAAGAAGATAAGATTTGTGTTACTCTAGATTTTGATAAACATGACTACTAGTTCAAGTGTAAAAGTAAGCAAATGATTTATTGTAGTGATATATATGAAATGGTGATGTGTTTTTGTGTATTAGCCAATATTATATTCATATTTTCGTAGTTCATGTTCACATCGTGTTCGAATTGGTAAGTATATTTGAGATGTGGAGATAATTTGATAATCGTTTTTTCTTTGATGTCATTAGCTTTAAATTTAAAAAATATTATTTATGAAATTCAACCAATTGATTTAATCAAAGGAGAAGCTGTATGGTTTTATAATAAAATAATTGATTATGTTTTTAAGTTTGGTTTTGTTTATAGTCTACTGATGAATATAAACAGATCAATCCAAAAGGTGAAATTCCAGTAAGTTGTGACACTTCTGAACTGATGAATTGTAAACTATCAAACTGCTCTATTTAGGTACTTATTATTGATGGGAAAAAATTGACACAATCGGTATAAATATTCTTCATCCATTAGTAATATTGTATGTTCTTGATTTTTGTTCAGCTTCCTATCATCGAATATCTTGATGAAATATATAAAGTACCTAAACTCTTACCAGAAAAACCATACCAACGTTATCAGGTTGAAAAAAAAGAAGAAAAATTTCAAAGTACAAATTAACAATATATTACGTTGGTATTATTTTAGGCTCGTAGAATTAGTGAAATTATTGCATCTGGTATTCAGGTAGTTTTGATGATATTTCTTATTATGATAACTGACGTTTCTTTTTTAAAGCCTTTACAAAACATAAGTGTTTTAAAACGTGTTGGTAAAGATAAAAAAGCTGAATGGGCACGTTATTATATTAAATTTGGTCTTGATGGTAAGTATATAAGTTGATTGATATTTAGTTAGACTAGAAATCTTTTAATTTAGCTGTGGAAAAAGCTTTAGAAGAATCATCAGGACAATATTGTGTCGGTAATCAAATTTCAATAGCTGATTGTTGTCTTATGCCACAACTCTATCATGCACGACAGTATTTTATTTATCCTATTTATTTCATTTATAATCCTAAATTTTATTTTTATTTAGATGGAAAATTAATCTAACTAATCATCCACTTATAACATCTATTGAAGAAAAATTGAATAAAATTGATGCATTTAAATTAGCTCATCCAAATCAACAACCTGATTGTCCAGATAATGAAAACAAAATCTAAAAATATAACTTAATTATTTTCTTCTTATTATTATCATTTGTTAATTAGTAAAATTTATTAATAAAAAAAAAGAGAGAGAACGTTAATCAAAACAACTAGAATAATGTGCAGTAGAACGATGGAGAATATATTTTCTGGTTATATCTAACCGATCTAAAGAACATATGTTTTTTTCTCGATTGGCTATAGCTATACTACTCATATAATGCAATATCAATGGAGAGGAAGAAAAGAAAGAAAAAAAAGTACATATTATCTTTAGGGGCCTGTTTATGCCGCATTTTCCTTGATCTAAATCTATACGTAGAAATATACAGAAAGCAAAAGAGAAACTCAATGATTATCCGTTGTAGTATATGGATAAAATAGGCAACGGGTTATAGTACTATCACCAATAGAGAAAAGAAGAGGAAAAAAAGAACAAAGAATAAAAAAAAACGGCAGAAACAGCAAATAAGATATAGCAGTATACATCTAGGTGATATTCCTTCGATAACTATCTAACAAGAGCACGACCGATAATGAGTGTAGACGATGAAAATGATGATCGAATGCTTGAAGCAATGGTCAACAATTCACTATTACCAACAAATCAATTAAAAGAATGTACATCCAAAGAAGAAGCTGATTTAATATTACGTATACGTCGAACAATACTTCATTTAGATGAAGATTCAACAAATGATCGATCATCACCAAAAAATGATACAATATTATCATCATCACCAACAACATCAACAATAGCATTATCAACTGCAACATTAGATTTTAAAATTGAACGTGCAAAACAAAAATATGCAGCTGGAAGTCTTGAAGAAGCATTTTATGAATGTTGGAAAATTCCATCCGAACAACGACCACTTGAAATATGGAAATTAGGTGGTGAATGTTGTAAAAAATTACGTGTTTTTGCTGTTGCACAACGTTGGTTTTCTGAAGCTATTCATGTTTGTCGTTCAAATAATACTGATTTAAATATTAAACTTGAACAAGCACGTATTGCTCGATTTTTTAATAATTATCTAACACAATATCCAATGATTGATATACGTATTGATCAACGTGGCAAAGGTTTGTTTATTTGATTTTCTTTTTTTTAAAAAATGAATTTAATATATGTACATATATACAGGTATTTATGCTAAACGTGTGATATCACCAGGCGAAGACATTTTTACTGACATTCCTATTGTTCATGCACAAACAGTTGATACTTTATCAATATCACCATCATGCACAACATGTACAACATCATTACTTACTCCAGTCGTTTATTTTGAAGCATCATGGTCGCGTATGCCAGAGAAATTACAACGACAAATAGAAGAATATTGGCCAACTATTACACCTATATCATGTCCATATTGTCCATACGAATTATATTGTTCAGAATTATGTCGTGATAAAGCATGGAATAGTTATCATCGAATTTTATGTCCATCAATAAATCCTGAAACAACTGAACTCTATCAATTTTGTGCTAATAAACAAATAATTGTACGTGAAACATGGAATTCTATATTTTCACCTATGGTTTTAGCTAAATTAATAGCAATGATTATTCTTAATATTGTTAATTCTGTTCAAGGTAAGATAATTTTATTCATCTAAACAGATTCTCATAACCATCATTTATATAAATTTGACAATTAATATTTCTTCTATACTCATATGAGAAAAAAATGTAGAATTTCTCTTTATAAACACATCCGATATTGACGTGTTATCTATAATCAATAGACGTAATTTTTTTTTGCTTCTTTAAGACAACGATACATCAAATGGAATTGACTTAAATCATTCATATACAGTTGAAGAAACAGATGAAGGTCCATTAGAACATGCAAAAGAAACCTTTTCCGAATTTATATCATCAGGTGATCCAACATATATTCGTACAATTCCACGTATGCTCAAAATCATGCGAAATATATTTAATCATCCATCAATGCCAGTACATTATGAATTCAATGAACAAGAATTTAATTATCGATTTTATCAAATAGCATGTAATGCTCAGAGTTTTTCTTCTCCAACATATGCAACAACGATATATACACGTTTTTTATATAATATTAGACAACGTGATAAAAGTGGCTTATATAAAACATTACAAACATATTTAAAAGGTGAACCTGTTGATCAAGTGTTTGGTGGTCTTTTTCCACTTCAATCTTCAATAAATCATTCATGTGACAATTCTTGTGAAATTATGGATTGTCAAGTTACACCAGAAGCTGCTGGTATTAAAGTAAGAGAATTTTATTAGATTAATTTCTATAGTTAACTAAGTTTCTTTTTTTCTTTCTAAGGTTCGTTGTAAACATCAACTTAAACCAGGAGATGAATTAACTATAAATTATGTTGATTTAGCACTTGGACGTCGTGCTCGACGTGCTATGCTTAAACGTGCATATAATTTTTGGTGTGAATGTCAACGATGTACATTTGAAGGTGATGATGCATATTCATGTACAGAATGTAAAACACTTTCACCTGTTATTGATAATCCAAATCCAAATTTAACAAATGATAATGCACCATTTCGTAAACCATTTCCAGCTTGTAGTCGATGTCGTAATGCATGGTATTGCTCATCAGCATGTCAAAAACAAGCATGGAAACAAGGACATAAACTTATATGTAGAGATTGGACAAAAGAAAGAAGTTCATCATCAGCTAATTAAAAAAGAACAAGTTTATATAGTTATTTTTTTTTGTAGCACAATTGTGAGAGCGAAAAATATGTTTTCTTTTCTTTTTTATTGAATAAATAATCTTTAAACAAAAAACAAAATTTCAGTTCAAGAAAAAAAATGAAAATAAAACAATTCTCTCAACTAAGATCGAAAGTAAAAATATCGAAGCATAAAAATATCGAAGAGAAAGAGTCGAAATATGAAAATGATAAGACTTCGGGTGTTCGAAACAACTCAATGGGAAAAATAAAGAAAGACGTTTGAGGGTGAGTGTGAGTGTGGGTGTAAATATAGACATTCACCTATATTTAGCCACACCCACACCCACACCCTTAACAGACATGTAAATTAATAATAATTGAGTACAGTGATGGAAAAAAAATTTTCGTTTTTTGGGGCTGATGAGTAGTGTATCTTACTACACTATATGTGAGATACATATGAATAAAATTGCCCGACTACCACTATCAAACTGGCAGAGATATGAGAGTGTTTTTCAAAATATTATAGCAAAATTCATGGATATCTGACGATTTATAGATTAAAAAAAACTATTAAACTAAGATAAAGATATTGACCAAGATTTTTACATATTAAATCAACTTCTTGGGGATTAATTACTTGTCCGCGCACTGTTGAATCATTTAATGGAAATAATGTTTTTCTTAGATTCGCAGTATTAATTCAATTTTCTTTCTTTATATTTATTTCAGCTATCATTATTAACATACTTCGGTATAAACCAAACAAATTATCATTGTCTAGATATTCTTATTCCATGAAATTTTTCTGAGATTTGAGCTATGAAACAAATGAAAAAGTTCTTGCTTTTTTCTTTTTTCTTTTATTCATACATTAATAACATAGGGAAATATACATGAAAGTTTTCTGGTGGAATAAACGATCTCCCCACAACAAGAGTTTTCAATTTACTGAAGTTGAAATGTATCGAATTAATAGTGAAATTGTTCGTTATCTGTTTGAGTGGTTTTTCGTCGATGCTTAAATATGATAAACGAGGTAGATAAGCATGGTTTTGCAAAAGAAATAATACAATATAATCATTATGTGCTATATCCAGATCGAGATATGTGAGATATGGGAATGTAAGTAACACTGATCCAGATGATTTGCTCTTCATTTCACACATATTCATTATACATAAATATTTGAGAAAAGGAAAATTTTGAGCAACACGTTGAAATAATTCATATGTAAAATCAATCGAATCAATCGAATCCATCATACGCAATTGTTGAACTTTTACAAATCTATCACCTTGCAAAGAATTATTGACATTAAACAAATATTCAAAATCATATGGAAGTGAATAAAAATGGCATTCACCCACGAGTTTAGTTGAGTTTGAATTAACATACGCAAACACCTGTTGAGGAAACTTTCCTACAAAACTACGTTGAATCTGTTCATGTGATGAAAGTTCAATGTCAGCGTTTTGATTCTGAACTGTTGTCTTGATATCAAATGTAAATCTTTTCAATTTCGGCATTGAACATAAAAATTGATCATATAATTGATTACCATCAATATAATTCGAGTTCAATCTGACAACTCGCAGACATAACTTTAATTTTTCAAGATTTATCATTCTAGAAAGTAATGGAACAATAACTGGATCATAAAGACGTGTAGGAATATAAAGACTTCCACAGAGAGAAAAATATTTCAATGTCGAAAGATGTTTCTACAAAGAACAAAATTTATGAATAATAAAAGTTATTTGTATCGCTCAGTATGTACACCGAAAAGTTGCTTACTATTCTATCTATATTTGTTGGACCATAATGATCTGATACATTAACGATCAATGTTGATAAACAAGGAAAACGGCCATCAAGTAGATAAACCAAGCTAAAGAAGTTTGAAATGTTGATTTTCAGTTTCACTAAAGTTGAGCAAGTGTGGCTTATTGATTGTAATGTAATAAGAGAAACAACACGTTTCCGTGAAAATAACATATCACCAAAATTGAACGTCATCAAATTTTTACACAAACATATAATTAATTCAAATACTTCTAATGCAGCCTTTGTAATGAGTGACATCCGACATTTAATATCGATATTAAGATGAGTTATTTGTTTAATGAGAAGATCGCGAAGAACGACATCGTCTTTAAAAAAATTATAAATCTTTACTTAATAAATTAAATATTTTGCTAATGATTAAGAATAAAAAAGAAAAACTATACTTGATAAACAGTCACGAAGAAATTCTTCTTGAATGTCTACAATTGTCAATGAATAAAGTTGAGGATAATTAGCAGCATGAAGAACAGGAATCATTGAACTTTGATCAACTGTAAGTTTCTGTACTTTATCATGAATTTTAGGTAAAATATTCCTACAAATTCTTGTAAGTGTGATATCTATTGAAGGAATTTGTTTATAACATGTATCGATGTCCATCGTAGTAGTCATTTGCATATCTTGAACATGACAACAATTGAGTGACAATCCATAAAATCTTTGATTGACATCTTTTACTGAATGAAAAACATCAATGGTATTGAGTTTATTGAAAATTATCAATAAAATCTCATTAGGTAAATCAAGTATGTTGAAATAATTCATAATTATATTATTCTTATCTAACTCAATGAAAATATCTCGCTTAATATATACATGCATCTTTTTTTCCACATATAATGATCATTTCTATAGAAAGAAAAACAAATCGGCGTATTGTTTTGAAAGGAAGGTGAAAGGCCAAACACATCTGAAAAATAAATTAACGTAAAAGGTGAGAATTAAGCAACGTGACTAGCGCATTATGTTTCAAATCGTCTAAAAAAAATTGATTCAACTTAAAATGCGTCGATAATGCACCAATCATATTGCTTGTTTAATTTTTGGTTAGTTCCCTCTTTTCGTATGTTTCCCCCCTAACAAACGGATTAGATCAATTCACAATGAATTAACAAATACAATAATAATTATTGATTTATCTGAAATTTTTTGTATGGATTGTATTCATTTGAAAACCGAATCGATCATGTCATTTATCTCCTTGTTCAATACTTTAGGTTGAAATATCTTTCGAGTGTGTCAATCCATTTATGATCGTTTTGTGAGAAACAAATATTTTTTGATCTCAATAAGAACAAGTGAAATAATACATCATAAAATATATCCATATTAAATATGCTTCGGACTGCTAAAAAATTACCACAAACAGATTATATACTCTTATTTTTCATTCGATCTTATTCAATCATTTGTAAACGTTTAATCCATTTTTGAACGATTTTTTATAAACATATATATATGGGTGATTTGAACGACGATTGTACCGTTTAATGAAAAAATCGAAGTAATGATGAAGAGAATTTGAGTCACGCATTCAATAGAGCTCTATCAGATGTATATATATTACCATCTTGAGGATGTGGGTGTGGGTGTCGATATTGTCTTTATTCAACATCCACAATCACTCACGGCCTTTATCTAAACTAATGATCTTTTCATAAAGAAGCAAGAAGTGTATTTTGTGAAATGTCAAAAATTATGGTGTAGTAAACAATATTATCATAAACTTTTTGAGACTTTGCTAGTACCTTGGAATAAATGTTATTTCATTAAAAGATGCGCTTCTGGATGCTCTATAAAGCTATGTAAAACTTATTATAGGCTCTCAAAAACAAAGTGTATAACAGAAACAAAAACTTGAAAAACAGTATGACGAGAGTATCAAATTCATATATTATAATGACTTTTTTTTTTTAATAGAATGCATAGTGAATAAACACAATATAGATTTTTGTCGAGGATCATTCGCTCTATCCATTGCTATTAAGTTGTAATGCCTTCCATCAATTTTTTGTGATCGAAAATTTCAAAAAACAAAATGCATAAAAAGTCATGATTTTGACATATCAATATTTTGTAAGCAAACTAAATTTTCTTAAAATACTAGAAGAGTTTACTCAGAAGTTGTTTAAATTGTACAAACTGCTGCTGGTGAGTTAAACTAACAAATATTAACAAAAGACTGATAAGATATATTTTACTATAGTAAATATTGATTTCGACGGTATATCTACGACACAACCTGGATTGTGCATACTTTTATACGAATACTAATTTTTTACTACGAAGTTTCATATGCATCTATTCAATTTTTCTCATTGATGTTATCAACATATAAAAATAAAATAGAATTAATCATCTATTTCATTGGAAAAAAGTGATACATTCTATATGATTTTTCATCTTTTATTCCGAAAACGAAAGAAAAAAAAAGCAAATCATGCAAGTTTATTTTAGATCGGAAAAAAATTATTTTTGTTTTCTAATTATGTTTTGACCATATATTGATCTTAATCTAATGCAAAGCTTCACATTCTTTTGCAATACTTGTTGTTCTTATTTTTTCATGATGATGATGAATACCATTTTGTTTGGTAGTTCCACCATTGCTCATTTCACTTGATTTATTGTGTTTAACAATATAATTAAGTAAATCGATACTTGTTATTATACCAAATATATGTGTTTTACTTTGTCTTGTTGAATGATCTTGATCTGCTAAGTGATAGAAAAAAAAACAAAGAGGGTGTTTAAAACAAGAATTAAAAATAATCTTACAATGATCATGAGCAAATTTAATAATCACATAATTATGACCTTCTAAAACACGACTTAATTTTGCTAAACTATCATCAAGTTGAACCTAGATTAATTTTTTCATCAAAAAAATTTGTGAGATTAAAACAAAAAGAAATTTACTGTTCGAAATTTATCTGTGACAGCTTTTGATACTGGATCTTCTGCTTTAATTGTTCCACGTGACATTTTTGCCATTATTTCACTCATTGTTGTCATACCCATAAAAGCTCTATTAATCAATATCATTTTATTGAGAAAAAAATATATATATATGAAATCTTACCCATCTTCAGAAATAACAGGTATTTGATCAAAACCTCGATCATGCATTATATCGAGTACTGATTGAATTTTTGTATTTGTTGAAACTGTTACAGGTTCACGAACTTTTAAACTTGATATAGGCATTGAATGCCACCATTCACTATTTGCTTCATCTTTAATATCAAGAAAAGCACGTTCATACATCCAATCATCACTTAAAAATTTTGTCCTATACAAAAAAAAGAATAATTATATTAAAACATGGTATGAACAATTTTTTACATATAATTTCGAACAGAATCCGGTAAAATAACAACACAATTTTGATTTTCAGTTAGATTAAAATCTTTGCATGCTTGTATAGCACATGACATAGCTGAACCTGATGAAGCACCACAAAGCATACCTTCATCTTTAATTAATCTTCGTGAACATTTAAGTGAAATCAAATCCACACTTTTATACCATCGATCAACTAATGATCGATCAAGTACAGTTGGAATGAAATCATATCCAATGCCTTCGACCTAAAAATAAAAAAGAATAATTAAAATAATATAATAAACAAAATAATTACTTCATAAAATGTAATCTCAGATTTATTCAATGATTCCGGTACAGCTAATAATGAACCTTCTGGATCAACACCAACAATAATACAATCTGGACATTTTTCTTTTAATTTTCTTGAAAGACCAGTTAATGTTCCTCCTAGAAAAGAATTTTTTTGTATAAAAATGATTATTTAATTTCTTAACGATTGTCACCTGTTCCAGCACCAGCAACAATCATATCAACTTTTCCTATTGAATGAGAAAAAAAAATACAAATTATGAAATATTCTTTTTAATAGATTGTATTTTTACCATTGCATGCTTCAATAATTTCTTCAGCTGTTGTATCATAATGAGCAATTGGATTATATGGATTACGATATTGATCAAGAATATGTGAATTTGGAATTTCCATTTTTAATCGATGAGCTACACCAATATGTGATTCAGGTGAATCAAATGCAGCACTTGTTGGTGTACGAATAATTTCAGCACCTAAGGCACGAAGTACATCAACCTACACATGATAAAAAAATATATTCATAAAAATTGATTTTGAAACAAAAAATGTATTTACTTTTTCTTTGCTCATTTTTTCTGGCATAACAATAATACATCGATAATTTTTTACAGCACATGCTAATGCTAATCCAATGCCTGTATTACCAGATGTTGGTTCAATAATAGTATCACCTGGTTTTAATGTACCATCACGTTCAGCTTCTTCAACCATACGAAGACCAATTCGATCTTTTACACTACCACCAGCATTGAAATATTCACATTTAGCCACTAAAATAGAAAAAAAAAATATATATATATATATAAAATTCGATTTATGACATTAGATTATCAACTTACAGACATTACATTTAACACCAGCATCTTTTGCTACACGATTAACACGTACAAGTGGTGTATCTCCAATTAATTCAAGAACATTATTATATATCTTTTGACGAAGTGATTTTTGTCTAACACATGAAGAATATTAATTTATAAGAAAATTCATTTTTTCATAGATTACTCACCGAATACCAAGATTGTGTGGGCATTTACTTCTATCACTGTTTAGAGTAAATGTACAACGACTTTCTGCGTCGGGTCGATTAGCTAAAAAGCTTTCCATTATTGTCTTCTAGACTGTTTTTCAAATTAAAAATGAAAAAGTTACTGATAAATAGAGGCACACCTCTTTGATATCGTACTACGTACTTGTGTTTGCCTTGTGACTCGGTCGGGTCGTATTGTGAAAGAGCATTGGATTTTTTTTCTTAATTTATACGTGCACATATACCCATACACGCGTGCCTCGAAAAGAAGAAAAATATATATATCCAACCATAACAAATAGCTCGATTAGTTCTCCTTCCCTCTCTTTCTTCGCATTTAGAGCATTTCTTGACGAAAGTTATTTTTTCATAAACAAATATTTTTCTATGTTTTAATTCAAATAAACTTTGATCTTCACATGTGACTTAAATTTTTCATAAGCATTTATTTTCTTCAAGGTTATCAGACTCATTTCAGAAAAACGTTTCTTTTTTTCTTTTTTTTCTTCTATGTTGTTATTCTTGTCTTCATTTTTCATTCTATAGTAAAAGTCGAATATTTCGTAGATCACCTTAGATAAGACAGAAAAAAAAGCAGCAGCACACATACTACAAGACAATAATCAACCCATAAGAAAAAAAATACATTAGTTCAATTTTCTCTTCAAAAGAAAGGTGCGTATATATATATATATGATAAACAAAAAAAAAAGAAAAAAAAATTACGTTCAGTATATAAGAATGATACGAGAAAAGAAAAAGGAATCGTAAGGACAGCGAGAAAAAAAAAGACATAAATACACTGGCTTTTGTACAACATCAATAACACGCATACACATAATATGAGAAGAGACCGGGCTTGTTTACATAATTATTTGTCGTCTACATTCTAATGTACTGACCAAATAGCACCATATCGAATGAGAAAAAAAAAGAATGGTGTGACAATATTAGTTTGTTCTTATGAAGGTGAAGTTGGTAAAGATGAGTCTTGTTCGTCATCATCTTGTTGCATTGGTGATGACCCACGTAAATTAGTTATGGGCATACTTTCCGATGAAGGTTCAGAATGTTGTTGTTGTTGTTGTATAACGACTGGAATTGAAACAGGTGCAGTTAAAACTGATGTTCGATTCGATCGATTAGGTGATTGTGGTTGTTCATTTGTATTACCAGAAAATGATGGATATCGATGAATAAGATCTTTTACAGCTTCATCATAACGTTCAACTAATTGATGTTTATTTATTGATACTGAATGATAATGTTGACCAATTGGTTGTTCAAGTAAACGTTGAAGAAATTCTTCAAGTGATAATGTCCGTTCAGTAGCTACAAGATAAAAAATAAATAAATAAATAAAATTTTTCATTTTTAACATACGTTCAATTTTATCAAGTAATAAACACCATATACGTTGAATTTCCGTTATATATGCTTGATCTTCTTCTGAACTAAGTTTAAGTTGCATTAAACATGGAAGAAATTGATGTGTCATTGTATCAAGACGATAATCAGGATCAGTTTTAAAACGATTTATAACAACATCATTCCATCTCTATTCATAGAAATAATAAATTTAATAACACACAAAAAAAAAAGAAATATTTAATTACTTCAAAACATAATCGACGAGCTTTGAATAAAAGACAACTATCCATTGCTCGCATTGGTAATGTGCATTGTTTAGAAAGACGTAAATTGTATTCACATGCAACACAAAAATATGTTATTGCTTCTTCGAATCTAAATGAAAATTTTAGTTCAATATTTCGCAGATAGAAGATTATCTTCCGTATATTAAATTACGTAGGACTAGATAAACGTACAAAGTTGATTACTTATCTTATCAGAAGAATTTTAAAACTACACAGAATAGTAAGAAATTACGTTAAATTGATAAGCTTTTACATAATATTTTTGACAAAATAACATTTTACTCATCATATCAGTTGAAAACAAATGTTTAATCTTCAAGGAGAGTTTTTTTACTTACTTATCTTCATTCATCAATTGACAACCAGCAAGAAATGCGGCAATAACTGACCGAAAATCTTTATAATCAGTTAAAAGTTTCTAAAAAACCAAAAACATTTTTTTATAATTTATTATATTCATGAATATTTACTTGATATGTTTGAACATCATCATTAGACATTGGCATTTCATTACAAATAATTTGTGCTTGAAGTTTAAATATTTTTAATCTAAATTATAAGATTTATTTACTAATAAATTTATCAATTCAATTTTCTTACCGTATATCATCATTTGGAATAGATGTAAGTCGTATAATATCATAGATTGCACGTTGTCGATAAATTAATTCAACACGATTTGCTGAGAAATACGAAAGTATATGTTGTAAACGCAAATCATTATGTGGTAATGCTGATGTTATTATATTCGCTGTAGGGGAATAAGTTTTAATTTCTTTATCAACAATCTATTTATAAGATACATATGTATTGATTAATAGAAAAATATTTATATTACTTCTTGAAGTAAACGATCAACGTCAACTGAAAGTATTTTAGGTGCATATGTTTTTAAAATACGTAGGGTTGGATCAAGTACAGGTTTGACTATTTCCGAATCTAGAAGAGAAATACAAATGATAGTTTGATTATTATCTATTCTTAGAATGTGATGATAGTCATACCACTAGATGCATTTGGTCCAGCAAAAAAAGGAATTGTTAATACACGATGAACAGGTTGTTGTTTTTCAATACGTTCACATTTTGATTTAAGATCATTATGAAGTTGTTCAAGTTTAATACTTTCACCTTGTTGTTGTAATAAAAGTAAATCATCATCTAAAACTCGTTGAAGATCAACAGGAAGCTCATGTTGTATATCTATATATATAAATTTATATTATTAAAAATTCATAATTGATGATTTACTAACCATTTGATAATGTCTTTTGATCAGCATTTATATAAACTAATAAATATGCACTAGGTACACGTGGTTCTTCACGATCATTTTGTGTCCGTTGACCGCCAATACCAGCATCAAATACATCTGCCCAACTAGTTTCACATACTAAAATTTATATCGATTAAAATCTTTTTTAAATAAAACTTGAATTATTCACCTTCATTATCGTTATAACGATACCATTTTTGTCGATCAGTATGATAGACATATGTCCAAAAATGTCCAAGCGTTGCACTTCCTTCATGTACACAAACTGCATGTAATGTGTAACTCGTCTAAAAATAAATAAACTTAGATCAGGAACATAGATTTTCATTTTTTTTGCTCACCTGTTTTAATTGTGGTTCATCATATAATTGTTTTAATTCGTTTTTTAAACGTCGAATATCTTCACGAATATCTATACAAAATATTTAATAAGACTATTTTCAAAGTATCTCTTTCTTACTGGCACATTTCGCTTCAACTTCTGTTAACCATGTCGGTAAAGTATTCTGAATAAATTGAAGTTCTTCAGGAGATATATGCGATGGTTGAACAGGTACGATAGGATGTTGTCGAACACGATTTGTTGTATTTTGATCAATTGAAATTGAATCAGTTCTAGAAAAAAACATAATTTTATTCCTATGAATAATCTCGCCATTTCCAAATCTAATTCAGTACATTGAACCTATATAGTCTGTTTCGAAAATCGTAATGTGCGGAGAAAAACTTTCTTTCACATATAAATTCTCGATAGATTCTATCTATGATTAGAAATTTTTTCATTAGTAAAAACGTTTACGTCTGTATGATGCTATTTAATAAATAAAGATAATAATATTGATAAAAACCTTTTTGGTAATGTTGGATTAAGTCGACAACCCGTGGCAAATTCATAAACAACACGAATTGCATTAGCAAGTGCAAATGATTCATCATTACACGGGTATTTTAAATAACTAGAATGAAATTTATATTATTTCGTCTTCTTATGTTTGATTGTTTACCTGTTCAATGTCTTTTCTAAGTCATGTAATTGAGCGTAAAGTGTCTTAGCAATATTACGTTTACTTAAAATAAGATTTTTATTTGCTAACATATAACGATCGAGATAAAGTTCAGGATAGAATTCAAATGGTGCAATAATTTTTGATGCTTGTTTTGTTGTGTGAGAAAAACGATAACGATTAAGGCAAATAAATAAAACAGGTGGTAAACGTGTTAACCATCGTTGTTCACCAATAGCCTAACAAAAAAACGATTGCAATAAACAATATATTAAGAAAACAAATGAATCTACTTGTTGACTAGAAAGACTTTCATCTGCTGAACCAAGCCAAAGAGCTTCAAGACCATCATAAAGATTACTTGAATCAATCATTTGAATATTAATTTGTCTCAAAGCTTCTCGAACTAAAGTTTGTTTTATGAAAACATAAGAAAATTTACCAAAAAATGAAACTTACCGGATGTATTTACATTTCTTTCAACAATAACTTCACCTGTAACAAGTGTATTAACAGGATTAGTAAAATTCATTGGTGATGTATTATCAATGTTTAATGAACTAGAATTAATAAGAAATTATCGTTAATTATTATAGTATATTTGATCAACACATTGTAAGACTCAAAATAATATTGCAAACTATTATTACTACCTTCGACTAACTACTTCGATTAAGTTCAGTTATTGTTAAACTGACTCAATCATTCGTAATACATCTTTTTTCTAGCTGATATTGTGTAAAAGGAAAATTTAAGATTATAGAAATTCAATCATCATCATAATAAATATTTACGTTTTTCCAATTGTTTCATAAGCAAGTTCAACAAGATCAATAAGATGCGTGGCAAATTCGGAACAGTCCTATAATAAAAACTATATTTTCTAAATTTCTTTTTTTTTTTTGTCTAAATTTACTTCATGTGAAAAATCTAATCCGCATAACTTTCGTGTGTTCTTAAATTTTTTAATAGCACGATCAGGATTTATTGATCGTCTAGGTGATTTTAACATTAATGCAAATAAATATCTTAATTCTTCAGTAAGACATAAAGCTTGTTGTTCCTATTAGACATAGATATATAAAAATAAAATGAAATAATTTAAATTTTACGCTATCAGTTAATGAATGATTTATTGTTGGATATTGAAAATTGAAAATAAGTCGACGAAAATACGGTAATGTATAAAGAGTTTGAATAACTGAATTAAACCAACAAGTATTTCCAATATTTTTTAATCCAGCTGGTTCATCTAAAGATTCTCTTTCTGCTATATCAGATTCATCAATCATTTGTTCCATTGTTTCACGTGACAATAAAATTGCTCTATATAAATTTTTTATATATTTTTTTTCAATTTACTAAATATATATTTTTCGAACCGTTCTAATTCATCATCTGCTGGCTGTTGATTATCAATTTCAGGTGCAAGTTCAATAACATCATCTGTTATTGTATCATTATTTCTGTCATACGGTGGACTTGCGGCTGCTGTATTATTAACTGGTACATTGGCTGCTGGTTGAGAAGGATTATTTGATGCTTGTGCAGTTCGTTGAAGATTATTTCTAAGCTAAAATTATAATAGAAATATATATAAAACAATCTAATAAAAGTTAAATACAAACATTTGAATCATCGAAAAGTAAACTAATCACTTGTTCAAGTGAATAACGTCCAGTTCCATCTTTACATGCTTCGATTGTTTGATTAATTGAATTTTCATCGAGGCCGGTGATTTCTCGCACCTGCCGGATGACATCTCGTCGATCTCGTTTCGTCTAAAAAATTTATATATATTTAGAAATTATTTTTTTTTCGTCTCTCTATGTATTTATTTTTTTGTTACATACGATGGAAAGATTATTCTTTTTATTTTCAGGAGCAGCCGCAGTATCCACTGTCATAATCTAATAAATATTTAAAGAAAGATAATCATAATATAAAGATACATATATGTTCCCTTTTTTTGCGTTTAAGAACAGAAATAGAAAGAACAAATGATTTTGATTGGTTCGGCCATGTTTTTAAAATGAATTATATATCCTCTATTATAGATAAATTTCAATTATATAAAATAAAATTTTTTGTATTAAAATATAAATTTTTAAGATACATTTCGTTTAAAGAAAAAATTTTCTTAAATCAATTTTCGATGGATCAAAAAAGACAATGCTATGTTTTTTTAACCGAATTATCAATTCAACCCCAAATGTTTATAATAACATATAGGTACAATAAGCAAAAATAGAATAGATAAACAGAACATGTACTAACAAGCTCAGAGCAAAATAACATGTGCATAAATTCTAGAATTTGGCGAAAAAAAAGATTATAAGGTTATATTCATGCGGATAGTAAGAATGGCATGCAAATGTATAAATATCGAAAATGTATATGTTAGTTATGTTTACGAGTGATTAGTTTTAGGTATATAATAAGATCGATTGTCTCGATCGTGAGATTGATGTCAGTTTCAAGGATATGTTGATTCGGTCTTAACTAACTAAGAAAGAAATGGATCGAGATAAATATGAAGTTTAATAAGATGAAGACTGAGCCTTTTTCAAGAAAATGTACGAATCGAATTTGATTAACATACATTTAGAAGTTTATTTTATAAATAGATAATAAATATGGATAAGTATAAAAAACAAATTGAGTAATGTTACTTTATTATACACACAGACATATTTTTGTGATATGTAATGTGAAGAAAATTCCGTATAGGTCATAGTGTTCTTCCTGCCCTCCGATAATTTCTTGTTTGAATTGCAATTATCTTCATATTTCAACTAAATTGTTCTTTCTAATACAGATATTAACAGATGTTATTAAAGCTTCGAATTTCTCTAATAAAAGTTACTCGAAACATATAAAAATTGGATGAATTTCTTCAAAGATTTTTTGCATCTCTAATATACATAGATTGAACTGTAGCAATCATATATTGAACGAAAATATTTTATATTAACAATTTGAAATAAATCCTATATTACAGATAACGAATAATTTTTCACGAAACAAGATTTTTGTTTCTGTAGCTTTACTCTATTTATAACACATGACTTATTCGGATCTATAGATAACTATATTATGAAATTTTTTCCTGCTATAATATGATAAACTATTACTAATGATGTTATTTTTATTTTTCAAATTTATAGTAAATTAAATCAGTCTTGTATGTTCTTAAAAGGTTTCTACTTGAAAAACATTCTACCCATTTATAGATCAGTGCTGACATCTTACACACCAATGTATTAAGATACAAAATTTTGATTAGCTTACACAATGTTTTACTCATATTGAGTCATGCTTACATTTCTTTTCTTTTTTGGGCTCTGCTGTTGTATGTTATTAAATTATTTATGTGGCTGTGGTCACCTGAACTTTGCTCTTCTTTTGTTTTTATAAAAAGAAATAGCTGACAAACAATATCTATGATTTTCATTTCAATACGATCAATAGTCATAAACTATGAATTATTTCCCACATAAATATTATGAATACAACAATTAGTAGTTCAGCTATTGTCGGTTTTCTCATGAATGGTTTGTAAAAGTTTATTTCATAATTTCGACAAATTCTTTTTTATTCAATTTCAGTAGTAATATGCTTTATCCCCAAAGAATATAAAGACAATTGATTATTACTTTATGCCGTAAATATGAAAATTTCTTATTTTATCACTGAATATCATTTCTGCTTTCTAGTGTCGGCAATGTGAATATCAACAAACAGCTGAAAATTTATGTATAGATGTTAATAAAATTATTCACGAAGTAGAGTATGTTGATTTGTGTATGTAATGAGTGATTTAGTATGCGAGAGTACAAAGAATAAAGATTCTTTACATCGCAAAAATTATATATATTTGAAAATATTAAAAATAATCGAAGTAGAAGGATAATATTTTATTCTCTACTTGATTAGAGTATTAAGACGTGAATAGATCTGGAAGACAGTATGAATTCTGTTTTTTTTGATGTGGCGTAAAATCAATCAGATTGAGTTTTTGAATCGATTTTTCTTTATCATATACTAATAATCTAATTTTAAAATCTATATATACAAACGAGTTAAATCAAATAGAACTACATCAGATTTTCGAGAAAAAATGTTTATCATATACAATTTCACATTGAATTGACAAATTATTTACGTGTGTGTCCTTGTATTTTTCTCGTTTATTATGACATGTTATCATCAAGGTTAACGAGGTTCATATTATTTTCTTTTCTGTCATTCAGATTATTCAAAGAATATAATTTTCAATGTCACATATGACACATGGGAAATATATTGTCTTTTCTATTCATGAGTCTTTCATTCTTTTTTTTTTCATTAACTAAATATCCGGCTTTACATTGATCTTACTAATACAGATAAATTTCTATTTAGTTGATGAAGAGATCAATCGAACATTAAGAAATTGTTTCATTTATTAATATGAAAGTTAATTCGATTTTCTAGTTAAATGAACAGTAAATAGACTTTTATGTCATATAATACTTGCATATATTCATTAACCGTAAGTTTGATAGTTTTTGTTTCTCATATCTTTTTAAAATTCTGACTAGTTGACAACTGATAATAAAGTTTAGTGATCATGTTACGCCTATGTTTTTTTTACTAGTATGTCTTCCGTATAGCTATTTAAAAAGTCTAAATATATTGTCAGTTGTTAATATAATCATATTTTGAATCTTTTAGTGAATTAACACAAATTGTTACTGATGTTATATCTGATAGAACATTACCGTGCGCTACTGATCATCCTTGAAAATTTAAGAAATCTATTAATAATAATTTTTTTGATTTATCATAGGTCGAAAATGTCGTGCTAGTAATACTGTTTCTTTCCAAGATCAATCAGTTCAAACCGAGGTTTGATTTTCAAATTGAATTTATTTTAAGGATTGCATGAATCTCTATTATGTATATCCTAATCATTGAACAGAATAATATTTTATATATATTTCAAAAAATGAAATAAATATTATTTTCTTTCAGATGATAGATATAGAAATAATTTAATCATGTCTACAGAAGATGAAAAGAAAACCGCACCACCGTCAATTTTACATTTTATAAATCCATCTGATAAAAAAGCGTTACCATCGATTCACAAGAATATCATTGAAGAATCATCTGTCGATAGTAGCAAAATGGACTCATCATCTGTTCATGATAGTAACACTGAAATAACAACTGAAAATAATAGTGGAGACCAGCCAATAAAGAAAGTTAGTCATTCACGTCGTGTTCATTTTCCAATAGAGGATACTGAATTACGTTTGATATCATATACACCTCAACCATATGCTAGACAACCACTTTTATCACTTGGTGTTATTCTACAACGTTATCGTGCTGCATGTCAACGTCTACAAATACGTCCATTAAATACATTATTAGATCAATTAAGTACAATGGATGATGGAAGAACATCATTTGCTGATCGTCTTGATTGCTTAAAAATAGTTAATGAAAAAATTGATCTTAAACATATTGATGCTATTGAAGAAATTTTATCACGTTGTCGTTTTCATACATTAGATTTTGATTCATCATCTATTGATGATTCAGCATTAACACAATTATTTGAAGTTCTTGAATATTATGAATCATGTACACATATAAATCTATCTAATAATCGTTCAATTGGTATGCAAGGTTATCAAGCATTAACAAAATATCTACGAAAAACAAATTCTTTAGAAAGACTTGATATGAATACAACACGATTTGATGATAATAGTATAATAAGCTTTACACGTTCATTACGTTTATCAACAACATTATATGAATTACATGTTGAATCATGTTATATAAATGGAAAAATTTTACAAAAATTCATACAAAATATACGTACATGTTCTAGTTTACGAGAACTTTATCTATGTGATAATCGTACGTATTAATCTATTCAATTTTTTTCCATTACATCCTTCTATCTTAGGTCTTCAAGTTCAAGATTCTTTCTCAATAAATGAATTAATACGTACATGTGGTCCATTTCTATTCTTACTTGACATACGTTCAAATTCTTTACAAGATGCTGGTATGTCACATCTAGCATCTCAATTGAGTCATTATGATGAAAATCATAAACATGAAAATAATCTACAAAAATTAAGTATACAAGCAAATCAATTAACTCAACAAGGTGTTGGATTTCTTGCCAAAGCTTTACTTCATAATCGAACAATACGTTCATTAAATTTAAGTCAAAATAATATAACAAATGATGGGTTATTTTTATTACGTGATGCTTTATTAACAAATCCGACAGTTAATGAACTGATATTACGAAATTGTCAGTTGACAGATCAGGCAGCTATTGCTCTAGCAGAATATATTGCTGAATCATCGACAATACAATATATTGATTTACGAGAAAATAATATTCAAGCAAGTGGTATTTGTGGTATGGCAATTGCTATTAAAAATAATAAATCATTACTTAAACTTGATTTTGATCCAATTCCATCAACACCAACAAATTTAAGTTCTCTATCATCCAATAATAATATTGATCGAAATACAAATTCAACTGGCTTTCTTTCATTAGCAAGTCTTAGAAAAATGACAACTGCTGGTTTTAGTAGTTTTACTAGTAATATACCATCACAATCGAATATGAGTGGAGCTGGTGGTGGTACAAGAGAATTACTTGAACAAAAAGCTAGATGGATGTATGATATTGCAGCTGTGTGTCAAAGAAATATACTTATTTATGAAGAAAAATTACGTTTACTTGAAGAAGAACAAAATAAGGAAACATCTTTTAGTTCTAATATAACTAAACAAAAAGAATCAACGAATAATGAATCAAAAGAAGAAACATTAGATACAGATGAATCGAACGATAATGAACATCCAACATTATCTAATCAAAACAATAGTGAAGAAATTGCTGAGTAAAAAGAATTTCTAATTTTCATTTAATATAACTAAAAAATATTTTCCTTCAGTCCAATGGATGTATCAATTAAAACTATAGATGAAGTTGAACAATCAAAAGATGATTCAGCTGATGCTGACAAAGAAAATAAACAATCATTGGACGACGTTGCAATTAAAGATGATGATGATAATAATACCTTTCAACAAACAATAAACACTTCAAACAATGATCATGATCATCAAGTTGCACAATCAGTAGCCACTTCCGTTGATGAAGTTAAACGATCTGTAGACACTTCAATTAATAGTGATAGTAATATTGAACAAACTATGGGCGTTCCAGCCAGTAATAATCATGAAACTGAACAATCAATGACAGATCCTGTCGAGTAGGTTATTTTAATCAATTAACACATTAGTGCATAGATATGACATTATTTGTATAAAGCAATTTTTTCAAGTTGTCTCAAAGACTTAACTAAATATCTTTAATTTATAGGCTTATACCAAATGGGGATAATGAAGAATCTAATCAAAATTCAACATTCCACGAATCATCATCACATTCTGATCCCACCGATGATACTGTCGATGATGATAAACGAAAAATACGTCATTCCGATAGTCTTTATTTATTACGTAAAAAAGTCAAAAATGAAAATGATGATGATACAAGTGATGATGAATCACAATTATCATCAATTCAAGAACAATAAAAAAATCTATATAGAAATAATTATTTTAAATATCAACAAATTGAATTTTATTTTGGTGCTGATTTAAGAAAAAACATATATATGTACGCGCATTCCGCATTTAATTCTATCATTTTTCCGGTGGAAAAAAAATTCGAAAAGCAGTATTATTTTGTGCATTGATTACTTAAACTTATTTTGTTTTCTTTCTTTCTTTCTTTGTTTTTTATTTGCAATAATTTTGTCCATATTTATTTTCGCGAGAGTATCAACATTGGTGCTTCTCATCTATCTTTCCGTTATTTTAATTTGTGATTAACATATATATGAAGTCTTTGTCTTGTTCTATGAAAATTTTCTTTTATTTATTTATTTTTTTCTTTCAAATTCAGACTTAGCTGAAATTGATTTTTATGTATGTGCATTGTTTTTATTGATCAAAAATTCTCATCTTTATTTTTTGTGTATATCGATAGTTTTCAACGGTTTTCTTGTTTTAGATAACATTGTATTATACTAGAACAAATAAAAACTAGAAAACAATTTCTTCTCGTTTTGTTTTTGTTATCTATATAATTATTCACGCTATTTATTTTTAATTTAAAGATTTAATGTCTTATGAGAAAGAAGAATCGATAGCTATTCAAGCATGTCTTCAAGCAGCTAAATTAACTGAACGTGTTCGTTCGAAAATACCAAAAGCTATAGAAAAAATAGATAATTCACCAGTTACTGTAAGATATAAGGGTGATTTTGTTTTATTTTGTATTTTTATTTTTTTATTAATATAGTTAGCGGATTTCGGTTCTCAAGCATTAATATGCTATCATATTCATAGTGCATTTCCTGATGATCCTATTGTAGCCGAAGAAAACCCAAAAGAATTACTTAAACCTGAAAGAGCTGGAGATCTTAAACAAATAGTTGATTATGTTAAAGAAGATAATAAAGATGTCGATGAAAAGAAACTTATTGAATGGATTGGGTATGGTAATGGACGTGTTAGCGAACGTTTTTGGACATTAGATCCGATTGGTGACTATTTGAAAAATTATTTTTCTTTTTCGAAACAAATCTCTTTGTAGATGGTACTAAAGGTTTCATACGTCAAGATCAATATGCAATTGCACTTGCTTTAATTGTTGATGGTGATGTTAAAGTTGGTGTTATGGCATGTCCGGCATATGGTAGTGATGGAGGGCTTTTATTTTATGCTGTTCGTGGTAAAGGTTCCTATACACAATCAATTACTTCATACGATACAACTATACCAACTCGTATACATATAGTAGCAAATAATGATCAGAATACTTTTCGTTTTACTGAAAGTGTTGAAAGTTGTCATGGTGATCAAACGAAACAAAATGAAATAGCAAAGCGTATTGGAATTCAAACACCACCAATACGTATGGATTCACAAGTAAAATATGGCTTAGTAGCTAATGGAGAAGCCGTACTTTATTTTCGTTTTCCGAATCCACATAGACAAGATTATCGAGAAAATATTTGGGATCATGCAGCAGGTACAATTATTGTTGAAGAAGCTGGAGGAAAAGTAACTGATATGGATGGTAAACCATTAAATTTTCGAGATAATGAAAAAATGCTTCATAATCGTGGAGTTATTGTTAGTAATGGAATAATTCATGATCAAGTACTTGAAGTTTTAAAAAGTTAGCAAAATATACATCTATTTATTTAGTCTTCTAAAATTTTAAAATAGATAGTAAATAATAGTTTAGTGTATTTATTTATGACTGCATTTAAATTTTTATATTTTTGGTGACGGAATATTATTTCGATTTTTTATTTAAAGAAAACAATACATACTGCTGCTGTAATCGATGATTCAGCAGATTTTATACTAATAAATACTCACAATTTTTTTCGCTTAGTTTAATCATATCTATTGTCTGCTATACATTCTATTTTGCAATGGATTGTCAAGAGATAAACATTTTTGTTTTTATTTTCATAAAGGAAAAACTCAATGAATAGATTCGTTTTTTTTCCTATACTAATTCGTTTCAAGGACAAAAAAACAAGTCCATTTTACACAGTCATGATAACAACAAACAACAAGGACGTTATTATATGCTCTATTCAACTTGCATTAAATGACGTGAATAGAAATAAAAATAAAACCTGTATAACCTTTCACACGCAGGGGCAAATGTCAATATTTTTTGTTTTTTTTTTGTTGATTACTGTCGTCAAACGATTTTCTTTATTCTGTACTTTGTTCGAAATTTAATTTACACATAAAAGAGACATGAAAAAAATTCTTTCACAAACTGTTCTACACAACACACACATATAGATACAAAGTTTTTTGTTTTTATTGTTTCTTTTTAAAAAGAAGTACATTGACGACTGTTATTAGCTTTTAGTCTTTTTTAACGATACTTAAAGCATCGAAAATATGATAATGAAAGTCAGGAAATAAAGACGAAGAAGTGCCGTCTAACGGCGTATTTCCGGACCGTAACGAGTAAAAGAAGAGAAGAAATATACATGTTTAAATTAAGAAGAAGAACAAGAAGAAGAAAAGAAAACAAATACGCTAAGCGTCGTCCATTGATGTCGAATTAGATGCTGAAGCTAAAAATCGTTGCAGATGCGTATGAATAGGTATACTTTGATGCATTGAACCAGTACAAAATAAACGTTCAAATATATCTTCTTTAACTTGATATATATTGCATAAAAAGAAGACTATTTTAGAATATTTCACACGTGATGAACACCATGTTGTTAAACGAGATTGTGCTTGACATTCAGCTTTTTCAAAAGAATCGGCACTTGTATTTTCAAATAAGGTTTTACCTTCTTTATGTATAATAACTTCACGTATAAGATTAAAACCGATTTCATCGATTTCTAATGTTTTACCACGAGTTATTAATGATTCGATTTGTTTAACATCATTTTCAGTTGGATGTATTGTACTATTGGTTGGCAGCGATGGTGCTACTGTTGCTGATGATGAATTTTCATTTGTTATTTGTAAATCTTTTGTAACATAAATTTCAAAACTATTTTCAATCATACTTATTATCAGTAAACGATGCCATATACGAGAAAGAAGTGAAAATTTATCTTTATCATTATCAATTGTTTCTTGAATAACTGTAAGTGATAATGTAAAATTAACATTACGTTCAAGCCAATCATTGATACGTGCACCAATAACAGGCATTAATTTTTTTGGTATACAAACATAATCATTAACTGATTCATTGTTATTATTTGATTTTGGTGGACTCATACATAGAGGTGAACAAGGTGGTGATGTGGAAGATGATGATGATGAATATCGGACATTAGATGGAATTGGACCTGAATAGATAAAAATAAAATAATACTATATTAAATAAATAGAATATATATATAACTTACTATTATCTAGAGTTCGATTTTCTCCATTATGTTTACGTAAATCAATTGGTACTGGTTTAAGTAATTGTTGTTGTCCTAATAAACGACTACTTTCAAGTAATGTTTGATATGTTTCTCGTCGATATGGTTGATCATTAAGAGGTACATTAGATTGAATATGATTATTATTATTATCACTTTCAGGTTGTTGTTGTTGTTTTCGACGTTCACGAAATTTTTCTGTTGGTATTGATGATTTATTTCCATTCGTATTTGAATTCGCTGATGTAGCCGCTGCTACAGCCGCAGCCATCATAGGTGGTGGTAGTGGTAAATAACCTGATGCAGCAGCAGCATGTAAAAATGCTGCAGGATAATTAACACGGAATTGTTGTGTAAGAGTATGCATAAGAGCATATTGTGCATAACCAATAGCAATAGCTTCTTGTTGACTATATGGAATGTTATTATTTGTTGTTGATGTTGTTGTTAATGTTGATGTTGGCATCGTAAAACCTGATGAAACGGTTGCTTCACTTG